GAATATATGCAGTGTATTATTTGTTGAAACTGTACTTCCGATTTGATTTGAAACTGTCTCATTGCTATCTGTTTATCAATAAAACTTTGGAAAAAAAGAAAAAGAAAAAAAAAAAAACATGACGTATCCATTAGGGTTCTTTGTTGCCCTCGATGCTCAGTGGTAGAGTATGTGTTTACCATACTCGGGGCCCTGGATTCAATGTATAAAATGGGGGGTGGGGGGCGGGGAAAGATCAGTCTGTCTTTGGTTTAAAGATCTTCCATGTTAATGTCCTAAGAGACTGGAAAACAAAAACAGAAACCAGCCCTTAAAAAAAAAAAAAAAAAAAAAGCAGCCCTTCTCAATTGAAGTTACATGATAAATATTTCATTAACAGACTGGGCGTAGTGGCTTGTGCCTGTAATCCCAGCTCTTGGGAGGCTGTAAACAGGCAGTTCACTACGAGTCCGATCAGGTAGTGAGACCCTGAACACCCTGTAGACCCTTCCCTAAAAATAAAAAAATAATAAAAATAGAGAAAGCAAAAAAAAATTTCATTAAGTTTGTTAGTGCTTTCATGCCAAGAATGTTTTCTTATAAAATTCTCTTTCTACAGAGATTTCGCTAATAACCTGTTTCTACTTTTGAGCCCAGTTAAAGCAGAATTGTTTTCTACTGAATTTTTCATTAACTGCAAGTTTTTTAAAATGTAAAATCTATAGTGAATTGGAAAAAAATAAAGATAACTCTTATTTTTCCTATTTCTGCCTTAGTCTTCCCTATTGCCAGACATTATAAACTGTACCATTATTTATCTACTTGATTCATTCAAAACCTGGGGCATATTCATGAGCATTTTATGTAAGATTCACATACTACAGCTATAAAATTAGTGAACTGTGGCCTATTTTGCCAAAGCTGAATCTCAGTCTAAGCCAGAAGTTATAAAACAAAATGTAATTTTGGGCTTAATAAATATTATTTTCTGTGCTGTCAAAAGAAAAGTTTATCTCAACATCTAATCTAGAGAAACATGTACAGTGAACTCCTCTGTATACAACCTCCTATTCTCCCCTTCTTGACAGTGCCTGTAGTTTAGAGAAACCTAAATTAGATGTCTCGACTTCAACCCATGCAACTTTCTTCTAGACTTAGAAAATACTCAAATTGCCATTTATTCTTAACTCCTTTGCTTTCCATTTTTCCTGCCTGAATATAAGATTTTGAAAAAAGGAATTGTTACATAGAGTAGTCACATTCACAGTTTTTTTATTTGAGTTTATTGGTATATTGTAGATATACATGATGATCACATCATAGAGAATTTATACTTATACATGATACATCTTGATTTTTTCCCATTCCCCCCCTCCCTTCAACCCCTCATCCCTTATCACAGTTTATAATAAAATAGTAAATGCTTAAAATTAATTCGACATTTTAATATATAAGTACAAAACACATTACCTTATTTAATTTGTAATGCAACATATGTAATACGTGCTTTCTGTGCTTTCATGAAAGTGCCTGTTTCGCAAACTCAAAGGGGTTAAGATTAAGATTATACACTAAAAACTGAAAATTGGAGTTGAGCTAGTGGTGCACACCTAAATCCCAGCATTTTGGAAGGCTAAGACAGAAGAATGACAAGTTTGAACCTATCCTTGGACAACTTAGAGATCCAATGAGACCTGACCCAAAATTTAAAAATGGGGCTGGAGATATAGCTCAATAAGAATACCCTGAGTTCAGTGCTCATGGCAAAATTGGGATTCCACCCAGTTTTGACTGACTTAAAGCTCATTTTCATTTCTTTAGATCCTTTCATCAAGAAAAAATTAACTGTTCCCTGAGTTCAGTCCTCATTTCTGAAGAAAAAAGAAAGAAAAAAAAAGAACAAAAAATAAAACATTAACTTTCTTTACTTTGGGAATACCTAAAATGGCATGGTCAGTGATAGTTTGCCTGCAATTGTTAATCCCAGTGGATTTGCACCACTTTGCTGTTATTACTGCAGAGGATATTGATCCTTAAATCAGACCACTGTTTTGACTTTTTGTTCATCTGGTGTTTTTAACACTTAGCTCTATTACAGAATAAGGACAGTTGTCTTTCCTATTGTTTTTTTCCATGTTCTCTCCAGGAGATTCTGATGTGAAACATCCCACCCCAGTTCAGCCCACGGTTCAAAGGCTTACAGTTTTCTCGTTGTACTGTATTGTTTTTAATTATATCTTTTCATGAGGGCTGTAGCTCAGTTTCATTAACTTCTTTAAATACTAGATACGAAAATACATATTTTAAAAACCCTTGATTCAGTACATATTTATTTCCAATTTTCTCTTTGGGTAAAATATAAACAATATTAAATAATGGGATTATCTTTTTCACAAACTTGCTCTGTGTAAAACTAACTATTTTTTTTGTTGTTTGTTTCCTCTTAGGCTGACTATTTACAACCCAAGTTGTTGGGCATTTTGGCTTTTTTTAACATGCAATTATTAAGCTCCAGTGTTGGTATTGAAGATAAGAAAATGGTAAGTTGAGTTCCAAAGAGCTAGGATAGAATTTATGTAAAAAATGCAGTAGACATTACTTTGGCTTTTGTCTACAAACATTCAAAGAACAAAATCAAATATTTGATATTATATATCATTGAATACTTTTATAACCTTTTGGGAGTTTTCTTAACTGCTGATCACTATAAGTCATTTCATTAACTGCCAGATTTTTTATAGTGCTCTTAAATTCAAATGATTTTAGTCTCTGGGCACGGTGGCATATATCTGTAATCCCGTACTTGGGAGGCTGAGGCAGTAGCATCACTAAGTTCAAGGCCAGCCTGGGCTACATAGTGAGTTTAGGAACAGCCTCAGCTGTAAATAGCAAGACCTTATCTCAGGGGGAAAAAAAAATCAAATTATTTCAATTTAATTCAATTTATATTTTTGTTGAGCAGCAGTTGGAGATAGGCATGAAGAAAATTAAATATGTATCATATCCTTAATAAATTTGAAAATTTACTGTTCTACATGACCACTAGATCAGAATACCAAATCACTTTGCTGGGAAACAAAAAGCAGAATTCAGCTTATATTTTCAAATTCTTAATTACCGTATAAATTCATAAATTGAGTTAGCCAACACTTACTAGACAGACTCTGTATTATCTGCAAATGGGTGGCACTCTGATATTTGTTTTTTTTTTTTTTTAAATGTATTTAATACAGGCTCTATAGAGTTCACTACACAGATCAGACTTATAGTGATCCTCCTGTTTTCAGCCTCCCAAATTCTGGGATTACAGGGCAGGCCACCACGCCCAGTCTTAATCATGGCGCCAGGCTGGGAGCTGGCACAGCATGCTGGGGATTGAACTCCAGTCACTGTTCACCTGCTTCTGGCAATTTATTTATGAGCTTTTTTTTTTTTTTTTTTTTTGAGATGGAGTCTTGCTGAATCACTAGATTGCTCAGGCTGGGGTCAAACTTTTTTTTGTCTTTTTGAGACAGAGTCTTACTATGCAGTTCAGGTTGGCCTTGAGCTCACTGTGTAGCCCACGCTGGTCTCAAACTTGCAGCAATCCTCCTGCCTCAACCTCCCGAGCACTGAGATTATAGGCATGCACCACCACACCTGGGTCTTATAAACTCTTTTAAAGTACTACTTACTTCATAGGCCTTGAATAGTTTGATATCTTTAATGACGTTGATGGGTCCCAAACATGTCAGTTCTGTGAGGGTGAAGATGATGACAACACTGAGAACTGGGCTTCGATTCAAGGATGACTTTCCTGAATTATGCTGCAGGTAAATGGCTGAGAGTTGTTGTAGTTGTTGTTGTTGTTTCCATTTCCCAATAATAGTAATTTGAATTCTTATCTCTTTGAGAGAAATTAGGTTCAAACCATGTAAAGGTAGAAAGGCTATTTGTGTTGAAAAGGGATTGTATTTATTTCTTTAAAAATATTCCTAACATAGTAGGAAACAGAAGCGTTATTAGGGGCCAGAGAGATAGCTCAGTAGTCTAAACTCTGCCTAGAAAATGCAGGGATGCAAATTCAGTCCCCAGTACCACATGCCATGCTGGCCTGCGCTGGCCTCCGCAACCCAGCAAGGGGGAGGCTGAAACAAGGATAATCACTACAAGTTCAACCTGCATAGGGAGACTGTACTAAATATATAACATTAAACAACAACGAAAAACAGTATTAGTGGACTCCTATGTCCCTATTCCCTACCTCATCAGAAGTCACTAGTGTTTCTAATTTTTTGTATTCAGCCTCCAACTTTTTAGGTGGAGTATTTTAAAGAAAGTCCCCAAATCACATCATTGTCCAAATATATCTAATAGATAAAGTTATTAAAAAATGACCATCATAAGCTTTACTTGCAGAATTAGTGAGAATTCTTGATATCAGCTAATACTCAGACCATATTCACGTTTCTTCCATTTGTCTCAAAAAGTTTGTCCCGCCGGCCAAATAGCTCAGTGGATTATAGTACCTACAAGCAGGCTCGGGCCCGGAGGTTCAATCCCTGGACCTGCTCCATTGGCCTCACCCCCATCCCTGGGCTCTCTGAGAAGGCAGTTGAGACTAGATGGGGTGGTGTGTGCCTGTAATCCCAGCACTTGGGAGACTGAACAGGAGAATCACCGAGAGTCCATTCTAGTAGTAAGACCCTGAACACCCTGTAGATCCTTCCCTTAAAAAAAAAAAGGCATTTTTCCTAAAGCATGTTGGTTTATTTGAATCGAAGTCTAAAAAATCTCCTATATCACACATTTGGTCTTTGGCTTCTTAAGTACCTCTTATAAGAAGACTTGTAGGAGCACAGAGTGGTATGCACATGAGTGATGCTAAGTGAAATGTCTTCTACCCCCCAAAAAAAAAAAAAAAAGAAGACTTCCCTTTTAAATTCCCTTCTTATACATCTATATTTTTTCATTCCCCTAAAATTTTGACATAGAGTTTGGCTGATTACTGATTTAAGTTTTTTTTTTTTTTTTTTTGGATGGAACCAGGGAATGAACTTAACCCTTGCACTTAACAGGCAAGCCCGAATTCTACTGAGCTGTCTACCTGGTCCCCCGATTTAAGTTTTTATCTCTTCCTTCCTTCTAGTATTTCCATATGAATTGAGAAGTTAGATACAGATGCTTGATTAGGTTTTTTTTTAATGAAAAAGTAAAATGCTTCATAGTTGAGGCTTTGTACTTGTGTTCTCTCCCAATATGAGCCACATACTCTCTTAACCATCCACATTTAGCCAAGATTAGTCAATAGACTTCAGTGTTGTCCATATGAATCCATCTAATATAAAATTGTACTCGCAGTTCATCTAGCATTAATTAATGATGCTAAATCCAATTAATTCTTTTTTTTTAATTTTTATTTATTTATTTTTTTTTTTGTGTGTGTGTGTGTGTGTGGCCAGCTCAGCCCACCAGGGGGCGGGCGGGCTGGCATGTGGTGCTGGGGGATCGAACCGTGGTCCCTGTGCTTTGCTAAGCTTGTTGTAAGTAGGTGCTTTAGACCACTGAGCCATCTCACCAGCCCCTCAATTAATTCTTTGAGAGTCTTCTTAAACGGAATAAAACTCACTAAAAATTGATTTATTCAGAAATAGTTCATATAGACAAAGCAATTTATATACGGTAAGTGTGATAAATACTTGGATATTTATCAGTTTTTAAAATGTAAATTATGTGCCCTACCAACATCCAATGAAAGTTTTGCTTTCTTTTATTTTTTATTCTTTTAATCACTTAAACACTTATCTGATAAATTTTAATCCATTAAAATCACTATTTTTGTAACCTAAATTTTCCACCTATAGCCAGTACAAGTCTCTTCCAGTTGGCATTATGGCTTTTGCTAGGACACTATTAATTCTGTAGATTCTCTGCTTTCTAGCATGATGAAATGCCCTATATTCATGTTGTACATTTCTGACCCTGGTCCAGAATCAGTAATTTTTTAAGGCACCCTAGCTCTAGTTCCTTTGGACACAGATTTTTTTATTTGGCATTCATTGGACCTACCCATTTCTATTAAATTATCTTTGCTTATAAATTTAAGTAAATAGAACAATTAGAATATTTATATATTTTATAAAGAAAAATCATGAATTATAGGTTTCCAATTCAAATAAGAGATTATAAACTTATAGTGGTTGTTTTTTGTTTGTTTGTTTGGTTGGTTTTTGTTTTTTTTGAGGAACTAGGGATTGAACTCAGGCCCTTGCGCTTGCCAGGGAAGCACTTATTCTACTGAGCCATCTCTCCGGCCCCCTTTTAGTGGTTTTATATTTTATTTTCTATATACTTTTATTTTTTTCTCAGTGATTTACAATTATACATTAATTTACTTTTTTCTTCCTGTCTAGATACATGATGCTTAAAGTGACGATTTAAAAGCTACTGCAGGGCCCAGGAGATGGCTCAGCAGATTATGTGCCTGCTCGGCAAGCCCAAGGTGTCCTAAGTTCAGTCCCCAGTAACACAAATAAAATAAAATAAAAGCCACTGCTAATAACAACACTACTGCATGCAATTTTTGCTTCTTAGTGGTTCTTCTTATCCTTTAAAATGTATCCTATTAAAAAATATATTGTCAGAATTAATGTGTTCTAAAGTCATGGGAAGTGATTCTTTTCTGTGTGCATGTGCCACCAACTTGATATTCAGTTAGTTCCAGTTGTTCCAGTTTGTTTAGAACGTTTTAGGAGTAAAGCCAAGTGTAGTATGTATTAAGTGAAGTGAGAGGATTGCAAATTCAGCGCCAGACAGGGGAACTTAGTGATTTCTCAAAAAGAGAAGAATAAAAATTAGGAGTAGCTTTCCCCTTCTATTTTGTTTGTTTTAAAAGTCATTTAAAACATTTGCATAGTCTCAAATTCAAATCTGTGTAACAAGTTATACTCAGAGAAATGTAGCTTTTATTCTTGACCTCTATAGGAATCCTTTTAAAATAATTTTTATATATCCTTGCTATTTATTTAATTTATTTTTTTGGTACCAGAGATCAAACTTGGTAGCACAGATACTTCTTGACTTGGGGTTAAATTCTTTTTTTTTTTTTTTTGCGGAACTGGGGATTGAACTCAGGCCCTCATGCTTGCCAGGGAAGCACTTATTCCACTGAGCCATCTCCCCGGCCCCTTAAATTCTTAGTAAACCCATGAAGTTGAAAATAATCACAAGTTGAGAATCTTTTTAATGAACCCAGACATTGTAGCTTATCTTTTTCTTTTTTTTTTTTTGCAGAACCAGGGATTGAACTCAGGCCCATGTGTTTGCCAGGCAAGCACTTATTCTACTGAGCTACCTCCCTGGCCCCGAGACATTGTAGCTTATAGTTGCATAACTCAGATAAGCTCAGAAAATTTACAGTACAGTTGGGCAAAATTGTCTAGCCCAAAGCCTATTTTATAATAAAGTGTTGAATGTCTCATAATTTCTTGAATACATACGATGTAGAATAGGGTATCTGTTGTTTATCCTTATGATTGTATGGCTGACTAGAAATTGTCTTATGCCATGCTGATATCATACAAGAGACTTGTCCTATGTATTGTTGTCCTAGAGAAAGATGTAAATTAAAAATTTGAAATGTGATTCATCCTAATTGTGTATAACATTTACTCTGTTGTAAAGTTAAAACAAAAACTTTAGATTGAATTGTTATTGGAGACTAACTGCACGTGCACATGCACACATCAGTTTTTT